TGAAGTTGTGTGTGGTGTGAGGTAAGGGCCAAGAGCCCCCCCCACTCCACCCCAGAAGGCTATCAGGCTGACCCAGCAGAGCTTCTGGAAAACACTGTCTTGTCCTCACTGTTCTGTGGTGCTACAATGTCATAAATCAAGTGTCCATATATGTGTGGGTCTGTTTCCAGATGTTTAATTCTGTTCTATTTTCCTATCTGTCTATCCTTATGCCAGTACTATACTGTCTTGGTTACTTTATGTAGCTTCATGATAAATCTGACTGCTAGTAGAGTAATTCCTCTAAAATTATTTTTCTTATTCAAAAGTGCCTTGGCTATTTTTTATTTTTATTCATTTATTTTATCACACATAAAAAAGTTTATTTCTCTTTCTAGTTGGTAATATCCTTAATACAAAAATAACATCAGCTTTAGAGCCTGTTCATAATACAAAACAAAAACAGCATAAAAAAGACACCACTTGCCAAATAAGTTATTTGTTCCTAAGAGTATCAAAGGTGCAAAACATTCACTTTCTTTTCAGATCTGTCTTGAAAATATAATTATTCTCCTTGACAAACTGAACAGAGTCAGCAGCTGCCACGCTGCATTTGTTTTCAAGGGATAGTGGCAGGTATTTGGATGTGAGCAACATTTCATTTGTTAAAATGTTTTGCATTAGCTTTTAAAGAATTTTCCTTAAAAAAACAAGTTAGAGTGTTTGTTTCTAATCCCATTTCCCAAAAAAAGCAAATAACTTAAAACACATTCAGACCCCATTTCTCTTTCCGTTAGGAAAACACTTACGTACTGTTAGCTATCTGCCGTGTAAAATGCACACCCATGGCTTCGCACTACCCATGTTATAAGGCGCACCCTTGTTTTTCCCTAAAAAAATTTGGGCAAAAAAAAAAAATGTACATTATACAAGGCAAAATACAGTAATCCTCATAAAAATCCTGTGAGGTGAAGTAGTCATGATTTTTATCTCCATTTCACAGACTGGTAGACTCAGAGAAAGTATGTAATTTAATTTGCCCAGGGTCATGTAACGATCAAGTTATATCTGGGATTAGATATAACTATCAAATTATATCTGCAATTGGCATCGAGATTTGTTTGCTTCTAGACCCAAGTATTTAAAGTCCTTCACATACCACTTCCTTAATCCTCAGGCCAGATGACTCTTCAAGGTATTTAATATGAATGTATTACAAGCTTAAGAAATTCTAATGTTCTAAGCCACCCATTTCCAGTTAAAAATCTTGTTTGGCAGCTACAGAAGCCACTTTCCTGGTAAGACTCAGGAAAATGAAGCAAGAGATAAAAGCTTCTTGGATCTCTCCCACAGCCCTCTGCCTGCAGAGTAACCACTTCGTCGCGTGGCCCCCGGCCCCAGGCCTGCTCCCCTCCACCGCGGCCTCGGGGCCCTCCGGCTGCGCCGGCCCCCAGCCCTCTCCTAGTAAGCCACGCTCTCTCGCGGCTGCACCTCTGCGCACAGTGCTCTCGCCACTCCTGACTACTGCCTCCTCGTTCTTTAAGCCTGGCCAGCACTTCCCTCGGGAGGCCTGCCAGAAGCTCGCCTGGACAGGGCACTCCTGTGTGTCCCCTATCCTAGCATGCCACCTTCTCCTCAAGTTTGGCTGTCTGCCTCTCCAACTAGGCTGCGAGGCACTTGGGGCCGGGCTGGAACCTTCAGAACAGATGTTTGCTACAAAATCCTGAGAGAGAACTGAGAAGGACTCTGTTGCAAGGTGTGTGACTACGCAACCGACTCTAGGAGGTGGCCGGAGAGCATGGGTCCCAATGCGCCCAGGATGAGCTCTTTGGGAGAAGTGGTGAACTAGAAGGCTTGGGGAAGCGACAGAAGTAGCTTCTACCAGGGACTTGGGCTTTCAGTTGAGATAGAAATAGAACTGACTGATGGAAGGGTCAGGTGTAAATGGCTACGTACAGTAAGGCAAGCTGTGGCTCATTAAAAGACTTCAGAAGCAGTAAAATATTTCCACTAAGTACATAATTAAACTAACACAAGGCAGGTTCTTCAAAGCTACAGCTATTCCATAAACTGGGGGCCTGGTTCTGAGAGTGGCTGCTTCTCTCCCTCACCAATTTTGAAAGCGATGGTTGGAGGGCAGGCAAAGGCAGGAACACGTTAGCAAAGGAGAGACCTCCCCAGGCCCTTCCAGCTCTGCGTCCACAGGATGCCTGGGCACTGCCAGTCCTTGGGGCCAGCCCAATGCCCTGCAGGCCAGACTGTGATTTTTGACAACTTCCAGGCGAAGTAAAAGCCCACTGGCTTTTCTGGTTAAGAATATAAGCTTTAGCCCTGGCTGGTGTGGCTCAGTGGATTGAGGGCCGGCCTGTTAAACCAAACGGGCACCAGTCAGGGCACAAGCTTGGGATGTGGGCCGGGTCCCCACTGGGAGGTGCACAAGGCAACCACACACTGACGATTCTCTCCTTCTCTTTCTCCCTCCCTTCCCCTCTCTCTAAAAATAAATAAATAAAATCTTTTTTTAAAAAAGCATATAAGCTTTGTTTTCAAAAGCCTCTTTCCCAGGAGCACCAAGCTGACCCCTGTTCATTACCAGCAAAACAGAGAAAAAAGGAGAAACTCTAAGGTAGCCACCCTAATTCTCCGTAATTTTCCAGTTAACTCCCATGTTTAGGGAAGAGGGGGAAAGCCTCTCAGAGAAGGGAATACTGCTCTGTACCCCACGTTCTTTCTGGTTTCCTGCCCTGGCTCAGCCATGCTCAAAACAAGCGCTAACTTTTCCTTCTTTTAGAAATTCAGAATGGAGGACATTGAAGGATTATGGATGTTCTGGAGGATGGATCATCTCCTGGCATGGGGAATACTCTTAATTAGCCATTTTATTCAAAAAATTTGGGGGCCAGGGTTATTGACATTTGGGCAGCTTAGGAAATTTAAGAAAATCTTCAAATAAGAAAAGCTTGCCTCCTACTCATGCCTCATATTAGCAATAAGTTTCCAGAAAAGAAATGTCAGAGAGCAGGCACTCATGCTCAGACCTAGGGCTTGTGGTTCAAGCCCCCCTCCTACCTCTCCTAGAAAGGATTGCTACGTGGGCTGTAAATATGAATGACTGATTCATTTTCTGTCCAGATACGGAAGTCTATTCATACCATTTTCCCGTTTAGGCAGGGGAAGCAGCTGCTGGGAAGAACAAACAGGGCGCTGACTGGGAAGCCGTAAAGCTCCATGGCTCCCTGATGCTTTCTTTACTGTGCTGCTACGTGGGAGCTCCAAGATAGCAGGGTCACATGCGATGTTAGTTATGACTATGGCACACAGTGTTTCCATGGCACATGGTGTGAGCTCAGGGGCATCTGATGGCTAGGGGACATCCTGAAGGTCCTCATGGAGTCTAGCAGACCCTGTTGGATGCTGGCAGTGGGGGCCAGGTTCACGTTAGTGAAATGAACTCCACGGAGCCGAGACTACAGAGCCCAGCTGGACTAGATAGTTGCAAAAGAGAGGAGGGACTGGCTGACAGTGCCTACTGTACACAGCATCTTGTGAGCAGTATGGCAAGTTACTACGGAGTGTTAGCAACACTCTCCCTGCTTAGTAGGCAAAGCATACAATGTGAGAAAACAAACCCTGATACACGTAATCCACTAATGCTTTTCGATTTAGAGGGAAAAAAAAATTGTTTGGTAACTCCAGCTGCCTGGGCTGAAATGACGTCCTGAGAAGCTAGAAGCCCTGGCCAGAAAGGACTCTGGGGGATCACAGCAGGGGATGAGGGTTGCCAGGGGCCGGCGCGGCCTGACCCACACCAGCCAGCAACAGCACGAGAACTGCCTCAATGGCTCCACAGCACGGAAAGCGCAAGAGAAAGTTACAAAGACCAGGTTGCTGGTTAAGGACAAAGGGACCTTTGTACACATTTAGGGAAAAGCTCATTTTAAAGATTTAAAGTTTGCTGGAAACCCAGGCCTTTTCCATTTGCTTTCAAAGGAGGAGTGCCCTTCAAATACAGTGCATGAAAAATGACAATATCCCTATTTTCAGGGATATCATATGTAAATAGAGAATAATGTCAGATTTGCAAACCATATGACATACGAAGAGGAAAATGAGACTCTAGATGTGGATTTGGTGATGGGATTCTTTGCTCTATGATTTAATATATTTTCCAAGTTTGGAACCACAGGCCAAGGGTTCTCCGTTCTGCCTGCAGACCAATGGGAATGTGGGCGACCAACCCAGAACTGTGTCCACGTCTCCTGAGTCTTCATCCCTGCCATCACCCCTGACACCTCCCTGCCAAAAGTCAAGTGTGAGAAGCCCACTCTTTGTTGAAAGAGAGAGTATGTAGAAAGAAAGATAACCGAGCAAATCCTGTGGATACAAACTACAAAGACTTTTTTGCTTCTTAAGAGGTTTATTCCATCCTCCTCTTTCTAGAGCTTTTCTAAGTTGTAAGTGTTCAAATGTGAGATTGTGTTAGATCCAGGTCAAATGGGGGTGCTGTAATTCACCGAATGATGATCAGAGAAAGGAATAAGCAGCTTTGTTAAAAGCCCATTCAGCAGGATGCCAAAATATACCAGATCCTCCTACAAACAGCATGGATTACATTAACAGGCCTCCCTGGGTGAGTGGAGTCTTATTCCCAACTCTCGTTGCCTACCTTCTGCTCACCCCATGGTTATATAACCTTTAGAATGGAATTTGGAAATTCTCCTGACCCTGCCCTTCTTGCTGATAGTGCTGAGCCAGTGGCTGGCAGGGGCATAATCTAATAGGCGAAACTGGAGAAACACAAATTCATAGTCCTCTTGTCTCGGCCCAGAGACTGTGCATGCAGGCAAGGAAAGAAAGACTCGCCCTGTCTCCCTCCTCCCCTTCTCTGGCCTAAGTTCATGATGACTTCACCCAACAGGCACCTGACCCTCCAAGATGAACTGGGAGGGGCTAAAGCATCATCCACATGGGGTGGAGGTGCAGGCAGCAAACGATATTTAAGATGCTGAGTTTGTAGAGCATTCGGGCTTGGGAAGGAAAGCCATAGGGCACCCAATTAAGCTGCATTTTCAGAGACTCAAGCTTTGACAAAAGCTAAGAGTCAGGAACAAGGGAACAACAGAGCAGTGAGCCCATCAGCAGTGAAAGCGTGAGGCTGTAATTACTGCAGCTTTGAAACTCAGCGGGGCAAGTCCAGATTCCTCCAAAGGAAGAGTCTTTGTCACCAGGCCCGCCAAAAATGCTGAAAAAGACCCTCTCGGCTGTGACCTGGCTCTGCATTTTCATCTTGACCTTTGTGAGTCACCCTGTGTGGCCACAGAAGCCCCCTAAGCGCAAGACACCTGCGCAGCTCAAAGTGGCCACCTGCTGTGAGGAGGTGGGGGAGCTCAAGGCTCAAATTGCCAACCTAAGCGGTCTGTTGAGTGAGCTGAGCAAGAAGCAGGAGAAGGATTGGGTCAGCGTGGTCATGCAGGTGATGGAACTGGAGAGCAACACCAAGCGCGTGGAGTCGCGGCTCACCGAGGCCGAGAGCAAGTACTCTGAAATGAACAACCAGATCGACATCATGCAGCTGCAGGCAGCGCAGACCCTCACACAGACCTCGGCAGGTAAGGAGCACGTGTCCTCATGTTCTCACCACCTTGCCCTCAGACAGACCAGTGTCTCCTGCCTGTAATATCGCTTTTACATAACCTGGCCGTCAGAACAACTGCCTGGGGTTCTTTGAGGGCATACTTTCTTGGGTACACACTATTTTTTCTTTACTAAAGGCTTATGGAGTACTTCTTTTGCTTCCCAATGTTCCGTAAATTTACCTACTACCTTCGCAGGTCTCTTTTATTCACACTACGTTTCAGCGCGCTGAAGGTATGAATTACCCATTTTATAGCACAGAGAGATTACGTGGTTTGCCCAAAGTCACACAGCAAGTCTTAGAAAGAGGGTTCAAGTTTCCTGATTGGTCTCCTTTCTTGCCCAGAGCTGATAGGCTCAGTCCCACAGAAGCAGGAGTGAACAGCAAAACCAAAACGTCTGTTGCTCTGAAAGTAAAGTTTTGCCAAAAACGGTGCTCTTATGTCTCTCACACTTAGAATGGACCAAGATGGAATTTTATATCCTCTCTCTGTGAGCCTGGCCCTTCCCACTGGCTTAGAATGCAGCCTGCAGATGCTGCCCAGAGCCCTCTGAAGGATTCCTTTGCATTCAGGAAAGGACAGGCTCCTCAAGATTCCTCAGTTCTGATATTTCTATTTTCCCTGTGATCTCAAATAAAATTCTCTCCAATGGTACAGGAAATAAGAAAATGTAATGCTGAAATGTGGATTTTTAGGTGGCCAAAAATAAGATACAGTTAATGTCTTCCCTTGCAAAATAACTTTCAGTGGCTGGTTAGCTTGGCTCAGATGGGCCAAGGTGAATTTATTAGAGAGAAATTTGGTTTTCTGAAATTATCAGGAAATTACTTGTTGGAAGGAGCATATCCTACAGATACGTCCTTTCTTACTGATTTAAAAACTTTTTGGTCATACTATAAGTCAAGAACAAAGAACAGAGTAAGTCACTGGTTACCCTTAGTTCAAATGAAAGAGTTTTAACATGAAATTTTAAAGCTTAAAAATTCTATGATCTAAACCAATGTGTGTAAATCAGTCTCTAAGCATGTACTTCCTGACCCTCAGTGTGGGACTAGAAAGGCATTCTCAGGCCATCTTCCAGGCAGGTAAGCCCTGACTTGGTCTGCGAGATGAGACCAGATAGGCAGGAGAGCAGGCCGGGCAGGGGAATCCGGCTGTGCCACTTCCTGCCCCCTCCGCAGCCTGGGGTTTTTCTCACCTCCCAGCAGGGAGCTCCTTGGAGTCCAATGCAGGTCCAATGCAGCTCTCCTGCTGGGCCTCTTACCCTTCTTGCCCAGGAAAACATTCCTTATTTTTCTTCTGTTACCAGGGGCTGGAGCACCTTTATACTCTGGAAACAGGTGGTCCTTGGAGAAAGCAGGAAGTTGTTGCTTTCCTCCGTAATAGAAAGTGAAGAGCTCTGCTGGCCGAGGCAAGCCTGCCCCTCCCTACCATGCTCCCCTCAGACAATTCCCATGGCAGAAGTGTTGCCACCTGCCATCTGCCTTCTGCAGACTCTTCTCGAAGGCCCAGTGCAATGGTCACCAAGGGAAGCTCCCGAGACACCGAAGGCAGACGTGTCCCTGGTCAGCAAGAGTTCCTACTGGCTGAATCCCATAAGGAAACGCTGTCCCTTTTACACATCTTCAATATTTAGAACAAGGAAATGATCTGGCATAAAGCAGTAGCCCCCAGGGTAGCCAGGGAAACATTCACATCAGGCCCAGAGTGAAAACCAGCCTACCCGAGGCTCTCGTGTCCTTCCCCCAACACCTGTGCCAAGAGAAGGCCCCCGAGGGTCCCTCAGGCTGCACCTGCACTCGTCCAGCCGACCGAGGTTAGGGCCGGGGACAACGGAAGGTTATACAGCTGAATCCCTTCACGAGGGCCCTAGCAGCCCTTACCTCTGGAAAACAGCAAAACCAACCAGCCACCCAAACAAACCGACAACCTCCACAAAACCAGACCCCGTGAGATACTCATGATTACCTGGTAACAGAGGCGGGCTGGCCCAGAAGTTGGACCTATTACGGCTTCTGTTACGTGGCCTCATTGACTGTAATAATTCCAGAGCTCGTAGCCCAGAACTACTGCGGGATAATTTATTTCAGAGGAAGCCTGAGGTCACCTGTTTGTCCCATCGATGCTCTCCTGGTGAAGGGCATCCCCATCCCTCAGTCCCACAACCAGTGGAGCCAAAACACACCAGCGCTTGGCCTCCCACACCAAGACACTGCCTAGTGATGGACACTCGTGTGAATTTCATGGTGGAAACAAAGTCTAACGCTTAAACTTTCCACTTTTATGCAGCAGGAAGGCCCACCTGCCAGGGAGCCTGGGTGTGCATGCTCACAGCTGTGGTCTGTCCCTTTTGTAGATGCCATCTACGACTGCTCGTCCCTCTACCAGAAGAACTACCGCATCTCTGGCGTGTACAAGCTTCCTCCCGATGACTTCCTGGGCAGCCCTGAGCTGGAGGTGAGGCCACCACCACCCACTGCCCATGTTCTATCATCTGCCCTCCATGCCCTCCAAGGGACAACAGGGCTTAGTCTGAGGCGAGTGAAATGGAAACTCAAGAGAGAAACAAACACACCAAATACCAGGGAGCTATCCAAACGCTCCATTTACAGGGGGAAAAACCCAGCATCTGCTTTGCCTTTTCAAATCATTATCCACTAAACGCCAACCTTCTAATATAGGTTAGCTAATTCTAGAACCACCACCTAACGAGCTAAAAGCTCTTGCCATGTCCTAGAGCAGCTAGTCTCTGGGGGAGGAGGAAAGAGAGACCATGCAGGGAGCCTATCAGGAGTACCTGGGGTTTTCCATTCCAACTCAGTGAGCACTCAGTTGTCCTCGTCCTTAGTTTTGATGATTCTCCCTCGGCGAACCACCCCCGCCCCAGCTTGCCCACCCTGGGCAGAGTCGTGCTACAGTAAGCCTGTGCACACGGCCCTGGCTCCGCAGGCACAGGAGAAGGCAGGTGAGGTCCACCCCGCGCTCCTGACTCTGTGGGTCCCTGACCAGAGCATCCTCTCTGCCTCAGGTGTTCTGTGACATGGAGGTGGAAGGTGGCGGGTGGACCGTCATTCAGAGACGAAAGAGCGGCCTCGTCTCCTTCTACCGGGACTGGAAGCAGTACAAGCAGGGCTTTGGCAGCATCCGTGGGGACTTCTGGCTGGGGAATGAACACATCCACCGGCTCTCCAGGCGGCCAACCCGGCTGCGCGTGGAGATGGAGGTAAGCACGAGGTCTGGGTCCCAGGACTGGGCCAGGCCGCCGCACGCAGCTGCGCACTACTCTGGGAGCGCCATTCCTATCCTTACTCACTTTAGGGTTGTGTGATTATTATGACGGTTTTCCTTGAGGTGATAGTACGGTTGAGAAAGAATAGGTTCTTTCCTCTTTTTCAGGAAAGTGAGGCTGCAGGAAAGTGAGTCAGGCCAGAGCACAGTAATCCAATAGTCAGGGGCCTGGGTACAAGGCCCTCCACGTGTAAACCTTACTGATACGGGTCGGTGACCCTCATCAAAGGCCTTGAAGAATCACTATATTCTCAAATTACTCTAATGACATCTGTAAGTGGGATACTGTAAAAACACAAATCTATACCTTATGAAAAGGAAGTGAGGGGATAGAGAAAGATACTCACTAATCAGGGCCACGTGGAGACTCAGGAGAGAAGTTGCTCTAGGGCCCCCGTTTTCTGACCCCCAGGTTTAGAGGTAAACAGGCAGTAACGCGTACTAGGTCCTCGGCAGCAGGGAGAGGCACGGCTGTGGCAGGAGAGGGAAGACAAGCAGGGCGGATGCACGGGCACCCGCCGCAGCGTTCCTCAGGCTCTGCCTCCTCCCACAGGACTGGGAGGGCAACAGGCGTCACGCCGAGTACAGCCACTTTGTTTTGGGCAACGAACAGAACAGCTATCGCCTCTTTCTGGGGAACTACAGTGGCAACGTGGGGAATGACGCCCTCATCTATCATAACAACACAGCCTTCAGCACCAAGGACAAGGACAATGACAACTGCTTAGACAAGTGCGCTCAGCTGCGCAAAGGTGAGATGGGGGGGTGGGGGGAAGTTCGGGTTAAGCCCTTAGGCCCACTTGAAGAGAAGATGTGAATTATAACTTCACAGCTGATATCCTGGCTTTGGTATTTCCTTTTTATATTGGCTCTGATTGCTTAGCTACTATTCAAAAAACACTGGAACAAATCCCTGCAGTCTAGTCTATCAGCTGTTTCCGAGGGGAGGGCACACTCAGCTCACTAGCGCCGATCTGCTCCTTGCACCAGGTGGATACTGGTACAACTGCTGCACAGACTCCAACCTCAACGGAGTCTTCTACCGCCTCGGGGAGCACAACAGGCACCTGGATGGCATCACCTGGTACGGCTGGCATGGCTCCACCTACTCCCTCAAGCGGGTGGAGATGAAAATCCGCCCTGAAGACTTCCAGCCCTGAAAGGAGGCCTGCTGTGGAGCAGGGCTGGAGAAGCGGGGACGAACGGAGGCTGGGCAGGGCTGGGAAGGGGAGAGGCAGGAAGGGGATGGATGAAAAGCAGCCTATTGTCTCCGGTGAGAGAGTGAGTCTCTGAGGAGCACAAGACACTTATATGCACCCAGGATGTTACAGTGAACGGGATAAAGTATTTGAACACAATGGGTCCTGACACGTACTTCTCGGGGGGCTGGCCTGAGTGGGCTCTCTCTGCCTTGATCCCTGACACAGCAGCAGCTTCTCTCTTTTCCACATGATTTTTCTATGAAAAAGATCATTGTGAGATGACTTTATCCATTTTCTATTAGGCCTAAGGTTAGGTGAGGGCAGATAGCAAGTCCCTTTGCTAAACAGAACCATGAACTTTGATTCTCAAGGAGAGACCCTGGGTGTTCAAGAAAGGAGTGAAAGGGGGTAGGGGGAGAGAGGAGTTTCTGTTTTTAAATACAATGAAATTACCTTCAGTCTTCACATGAAAAAAAAAAAAAGAGAGACAAAAATTGTTCTGCCGGAGGCGGGCTGACCCAGGATGGCCGTCATTGGAGGAAGACCCGGCGCTGGGCGCCTCCCCGGCAGGGCCCTGACAGCGGGAGGTGGGTCTGGGGATGGCCAGGGAGCGCCAGGGGGAGGTGGCAGTAAGTTCCCGTGTGGATACTCGCGCAAAACTGCCTGAAACTATTCACAGTTTACAGATTTACCTTTTTTACTTTGAAAGAAAAGAGCTTGAAGAGCTTCTGCTTCTGTCTACAAAAGCTGGCTGGAAAACGAAGGTAGATGGCACTATGGTTGATAACTCATGCTGTTTATCAGCAGTTCGCTTTGTGAAAATAAAATATAGATTAATTTAAATGTTCAAAGTTTCTTTTTCCTTCTACAATAAACTTGTAACACTTGTTCGTTTTTAAGTCGTCGCCATCACCACTCAGAGCGTGGTGAAAAGTTGAGGTGAAAAGCCAGAGGGTGGTGAACAGTGAGGAGGAGGCTGGTTTTGCCGCAGTCTTCAGGGAAACCTTGGGACGAGCAGGAGGCCGAAGGCAACAGGCAGGGGACTTTGCAAAGGGCAGCAGGCACTAGCAGAGGTCAGGTCTGGCTGACCCCTGTGACCCCATGGGGGCCAATGCCATCGCCTGGTTCCCAAACACTTTGCAAACTGCTTTCCACTTGAGCAACTAACATACAGAGAGGGAAAGATCTTTAGCCATAACAGATGGCAAATGATCTGGATTTTTAGGAAGTCATTTTTCCTTGCCAGAAAGAACCATTCCCTTGAACCAGTCAGTGAGGTAAGCTATGATTTTTTACTCAATATTTTTTAATTGTATCTACAGTCCTTTGATTCTTGGGAACCTACTTAACCTTAAAAACAGAACCTTAGGGGTTTTAGAAGTAGACAGGAGCAGGGCTTTTCATGGGACAGGCGTTCAGACAGAAACTTCCTGGGGCAGGCAGGGGAATCTGAGATGCTAAGCAGCTGGCAAAATACTGCTGGAAAAGAGAGGCTAAAAAGATCAGGGGGCTGGAAGGAGATAAAGAGAGGGAAGAGCCTGAGGTGCCTATGGCAGAGATACCTAATGATTCTCTCTCACTTCCTATACGCTCCACAGCTAAAACAACATGGAGGCCCTAGGCAACAAAAGCTAAAATGGGTAAAGTGGGTAGAGAAAGAAAAGCAGGTGCTATAGACTGACTGTGTGTCCCCCACCTCCCCAAATCCTATGTTGAAGCCTAATCCCTAATGCGTGGTCACTGGAGGTGGGGCCTTTGGGAGACGTTTAGGCCATGAGGGTGGAGCCCTCATGAATGGGATTAGTGCCCTCAAAAGAGAGGTCCCACAGAGCTTTTCCCCACGTGAACAAACATCTGCACCTGGAAGAGGGTCTCACCAGAACCCGACCAACCTGGCACCCTGATCTTGGACTTCCCAGTTTCCAGAACTGTGAAACATAAATGTTTGCTATGTAAGCCACCCAGACTCTTGTAGTTACAGCTGCCTGAGCGGACTAAGTTAGCAGGCCATCACGCCTCACCCTTATGCTAGAAGCTAACCAAGTAAAAGTTGTGTGTGTGTGTGTGTGTGTGTGTGTGTGTATTTGTGTTTCCAAATCATCAAATGTCCATTTAATCCTCTGTCCCCTAATCATACTTACTGATGTATGTGAGCTCTGAGGAGATGAGTACGTTTATCCTGTCTCACACTGGCCCTGGTTTGGGGGTTACACATGGATTTAATTTGTCCTGGAGAGGACAGGGAGAAATGGCAGCAGGTAGGAAGGCGGACGACTGGTCCAGCAGCAAGAGAACTGTGTTATGACCACGGCACAGCTTTTTAAAGCAAAAATGAAAACTCAGAATCAGCTGTGTGAAGATGCTTTCGTGTACGATAAACCTGATTGTTTCAAGAAGACTTTAAGGCAGCTGGCTCAAATGTATATACTTGAATGAGCTTTTAAAAAGTGGAGAAGGAAAAATAAAGCGGGGGGCAGGGAGGGCAATGACAAAACAGGCAAGGCGCCTGTAATTTGTCAGAGGTGGGCCAGTAACCAAGCTGCCAGTAGCCACTGTGACGAAGGGAATCCCACCTATTTCTGCAGAGCAATGTCACCAAGACCAGGCCAAAGAAGTGGCTCAGGGACATCCAGCTGCCACTGTTCAACATGGGGAAGAGTTTTCCACGAGGCCCACTAGAGGGCTGGGGAGGTGTTGCGAGTAACTTCCTCAATAGCAGCTTTGCTGAAGTCTGTTTCTTAAAACTTCTTCAGTGAAAATGATGGCAGGACATCACAATGGTGCTTAGGAAAAGCAGCTGTAGAAAACTGGAAGGAAAGCTACAAATGGAAACAAAAAAGGTGGACCTTCTGGTTTAGAGACCAACTGAAGGGAGACAAGCTCAACTGAATGAAACTAGGCACAAACCACAGAGCTTCGGTGCTGGCTTGACTTGGAAACAGAGGCGTGTGTGTATTTGTCTTCTTAAAGCCAGCATAAGTCTGCAGGGCATTCTGAGAACTGATTTTCAGTTATATTGGCTTAATGAGTTAAATGAGCTTGAACGCTTTCTCCAGGCCCCTGACTATATCTTTCTACTATAGATCTGCATCAACATTATTGCTCCTATGATTTCTCAGATTGGGGGGGCAGGGAATCTGGGGTAGGATGAGGAAGGTTTCAGAGAGGTACCAAACAGAAACAGGTTAGCAGGGAAGTTACTGTGCAAAACTACTTATTTGGTACTCAAGTTACTATATTCAGTCACCAGGTATTTCATCAGGTACCGAACAAGACTGCCTGGCCAAGTCAGAGCGGAAGGAAGGAGTGCAGGCTTCACATCTGCTGTGCCCATTGGAAACTGAGGCCTACCCCATAGGACGGCATGTTTCCAAAACGCCATGTGGTATTTTAGAAGCCAACATTCTCTCCAAGTCCAATTAGCTGGGCAAAAACACAACTCTATTTCTATTTTTTGGGTCACTTTTTAAAGCATCTGAAGGAACACTTTTCAGTATCTACTCAAAAGCAGAGCAAGCAGAAAGCCTGGCTATTTGATTATGCTCTCAAACACAGGAAGCACCACACACAGCTGGCTGTTTCGGCCACAGTGGAGGGACCTACTAGCCAGGTGACTTCTTAAACCATCTGTAGTGAAATAATCAACCGTGTTAGCATTTACATGAAGATAATTAGATCCCATAGTTAATATTCTCTGATAACCATTAGGGGAAGTGAACAGTGATCCAGGAGCCAGAGCTAACATTTCAGGCTGTTTGTAATTTCCTGACAGTGGAAAATGTATTCAACAACCTGTTTTTCCCATACCCAGAAGACTCAAAACCTGCTTAGGAGAGGACAGAACATAACCGAAGCAGGGGAAGGACCATGGAACCTCAGACTTTGCTCTGCCTTCTGTGCTTACAAGACCCCAGAGGACACCGCCACTGGCCCCCGCACAGGCAGTCGATAAAAGCCCTACCTGCTTTTGGGCGGCTGCTGAGGCCCCAGATCCAGCACTTTCCACTCCTGCCCCAGAGAGCACTATCTAACTCAGATATACACTCTATGCTTCCTAGGTTGCTATGGAAATAGAGTTGCTTAGGACAAGCAAGCACAAGTGGGAAAACAACAGAAGCCCAGGTGCTCAACAGAAACGACAACTGTGGCTGGAAAACTGGGGAGAGCCATCTGCATCCACATCTCATTTAAATGTGCTGACCGGACCTGAAGGCAGATTTCATGGAGCAGGAGTCTCCCAGCGACTGCAGCGAGCTGGGAGCACGCAGCGGGAGAGCAGAGGCCATCTGACATGAAGGCAGCCATCTGAAAGGTCTGCGGCCTACCTGATGAGAGATTCGAGGATGGCAGGGGTGGGGCCTTTCTGGAACTCCAGCTCTTTGTAGTGTAGCGCTTTGGCGTAGGCTCGGCACTTGGCAGCCCTCTCACCCAGCAAAACAATGCCGTTGTCGTCTCTCAGTGGAAGGGGGCCCTGGAGGAGAGCAGACGCCACAGCATAGGAAACCAGCCAGTGGGGCACAGGCAAGAGTGGGCTCTGTGAGTGTGTCTCCCCTCCCGGCGGCTGGTTCCCTGTCGGGCTCCATCTGGACAATGGGCAAAAATCTTACCTTGTCACTGTGTTCCATGAACTCGGCCAAGTTTAAGAGGGTCTGAGTGACTTCAGCAATGTCCTGTGAGGTGAGGGCCAACTCGATGCTTCTGATGAGTTCATCCTGCTGGTCTTCATTCAGCTCAGACCAGCAGGACACAAACGCGGCATTAAAGAGATCCCTGAAGGCAGAGAGGAGTGGAGAAGGAGGTTGGCAATGCCTGGCACGCCCCTGCCTGGTGCAGTCATACCTCTAACAGGCTGCTCCTGGCATCGCTGATACTGGTTATACAGACCCGTGCTGCCCAACAGAACTGGCTGGAAGTGGTCTGTATCTCCCGGGTCCAATATAAGTAGCCACTGATCACTGAAGGCATGAGCTGTGGCAAGTGTGACTGAGAAACTGAATTTTAAGTTTTATTTAATTTTAATTAACTCATAAGAATCCATGTGGCTAATGACGATTGTATTTTCCAGTTCAGGGAGAGAGACTGTGGGGCGGGGCGCTGGAGGAGAAAGGAGAGCAGAGAAAAGGAGCAGCACATTTCTTGGCAGTTGTTGCATGACTTCTCCTCACTGGGGGGGGTGGGGGAGGGTGACCAGAGAGGGGACTGCTAACATAGAAGCTGGTATTAACAGATTTTGAAAACAATCTTCACATGATTCTGGGGATGTTTCTCAGGCAATGTCCAAATTCCTTAAATCAGAAATGGCAAAAGCAGCATCTGTTACTGTTTTTCAAAATATAACCAGAACCCTTCTTTTGGATGGTCCTAAACAAAATGACAGCAGAACTTAAGGAACTGTAAGAATTGAAGAATGGACTCCAAGGCCATAAGTCTTCAAAGACTCTCTAAGCCAGTCTCCTACAGCTGGGGTCTCACAAAGACCTGGAAGCAGAGGTGCCATTTCTAAACCTATTTTAAATCACTACAGCATCATGTGGGTGGACGTATTTGCTACCCCTGATATCTGAACTTTAATCTTACCCTCTTTTTTCATAAGTGAGGGGACAGGAGAGTCGGAAACTATAGAATATGCCTATAATGTATAGGTTTAGCATTTGATAGCTCTGCATCCACTTTTTGTCACATTAAAAGATTAAATCAGACCAATGTATATAATTTTGGAATGTGATAAAAAAAAAACAATATTTGAAATGCAAAGAATAA